GTTTCTTATCTAAACCCCAAAACCCCAAAACCCCAAAACCCCAAAATCTTAGCAGACTGATATTAAAAATTTAAGTTTTAGCATTAATTAATAAGTCAAACATTTATATTTATTCCTAAGCTAATTAAGTAAATTAGTTCTATTACTTTTCAAATTAGTCAAAAGGCTTTTCAATTGAGACAATTTATTAATATCTCTTATTATCATAAATAATCTGAGTTCTATATGGCTTAAGTTTGGTGTCTTGTCTTGCCAAGATTTTCTTAGATATTTCTGGGAGGAAGCTGATTGAATCTAGCGGTAATCCCATTATTTTTAGAGGTTTCTGATCCTTTGAAAACTCCAAAAGTCAAATTATGGAAAACATCTTCAGTACCTTTTTATTAAGAAGAATCTTTATTCCTTGTACTACCCCCACCTTGACTACTTTGAGCGCTACCTATGTTATTATTGAGAATAATAGAAGATTTCTTGCTAATTGCTTAGCTTATCATTATTGATGAAGAACTTGGATTCTTCCTTATCTCTTTTTGATTATGTTTTAGTTGGATTTTAATTGGAGGTTTATCGCTTTCACTGCCCTAAGATCTTTGAGAGTTAAATTGATTCTTCAATGACTAGATACCATTTAAAAATGACTGGGATTAGTTTCTGAGAAGATCAATCTTAGAATTATTGGTACTTATATTTCCAATGAATGAGGACTGATTAGAAATCAGTGGTGTAAGCCCTTGAGGTGACTTCAAATTATTAACTCTATTATTTTAATTAGAATTGTTTGAAGTAGTTGTTTCTACTCTATCCAAATATTAGACTGATTGTCTTATTTCTAATTATGGCTTTTCAAATTAGATCTTTTTTGATTACTAGGTTGGAGAATTTTCCCTTGATTAATTTTTTTATTATAGACTAGTTTTGTTACCACTAGCTTTAAAAGATAAAGTCAAAAAGTTTTAAGACGTAGATATCTCAGGCAATTTTAAAGTTTATGTCTCAAATTTTTAATTAGAATTGTTTTGTTTTTCTATAGTAAACTTATATGTCTTATTAAAGTCAATACTCTGATTTTCATAAGGCTCTTTGTATGCTCCAATATTTGGTCCATATCTTTTCTTCGTGCAACTTTTAGTAAGTTGCAATAATTCTTGGTCCTCAAGATACTCCTTCTTATATTAGTTATTTTGAGATCTATTTCTCTTTCTTTTGAAAGTCTAATTAAATTGGAGTTTTTCTTTGTAAAGTCCAGATTCCTCTAACTCTCTGAAATTAGATTGTTTCTAAGCAGATGTCTAATTTGAATTGCATTTCATTGTAAGCATTTAAGTTTGTTCCTTATCAATACTTGTGTCATAAGTCATCACACCTCTTCTAAGATTTCTAGTTTTAATTTTCTTTGGTCTATGAAGTGATTCATTGATAGGACCTTCATTCGTATCCCCCATTTTTATTTTTTAAATCTCAGGATATTGCTTATTCTTCGGATTTTTTGCCTAAAAAAATTCTTATAATGTTTAGAAATTCAAGTCTTTTTCTGGCTAGTGCTGACTATCAACTATTTATTCATAATTAGCTTCTTCCTCAATTTATTCTTAAATACTAATGTTAAATCTTTTTGCTTTTTCGATAGAACCTTATATACTCGCTGTTCTTGAACCGTTTCTAGATTAAAGTCGATCTATTATTTAACTAGATCCAGCGGTCATTGGCTAGACTTACGGTATAGCTTGAGATTCTGGTCTCGAAAATATTTGTTTAGATAAAACCTTTGGTATCTTGAATTTGTGTACTCTATGCTCCTTAGTAGTTGAACAGTCTTATTCAGTTGAACATGCTGTACTTAAAATTCGGCTATGGTGGTTTTGAGAATCATCACGCTTTTTTTGTGTTTCAATTAAATTCTGAATGTGATTCTTGTGGGATTCATCTTAGATTGCTTGTGCTAGTAACGAAAAGTGGCTAACTGAATTTTTCATCTAAGGCTTTATCTCTGATTCTTACAATTAGTTTTTGAAACATGGAGTTTGTCCAATTTCTATATCAGTTTTGTAGCAATTTTCGTCTAATTTTATTTATTTTGTCCTATCAGTTTATTGGAAGGATTCCTTCATCTCTTCCTCTGGTTCTTCTTTAATTGATTACTAACTGTCGTTTCTTCTCTTTCTTCTACTTCTGCTTCTTCTTTTTTCCTATTAAAGTGAGACAGCTTGCTCTATAATAGGGTTTAATAATTTGAGAGATGAGTGATTTTTGGGGAGCTAAGGTTTAGCCTTTTTACTTCCAGACTAATTCCTTCTATCTTGGTTATCCTAGTTACTTTATTATGAAAGGTTTGATTAATAAGTTTCGCTGAAGTTAATTGATTATTTTACTGAAGATTAATTCTAAGTTTCTTTAGCATGATTGATAAGGATAGATGTTGGGGTTATTGTTTGACTCATTTGAAAATTATCCTACTGAAATATGTTCTGTATTTTGAAGTTTATATCTTTCATTTCATTCAAAATACTTGAGGCTGGATTAATTTAGGCTTAAGTAGAACTCCTTTACATCCCTTATCCAACTTATCTAAGTTATTCTTACTGCTTTTATGAAATACCAAGATTCCTAATGGTATTTAATAGTTATGGATTCTAATTTTGAGTGCTTTGAGTTTTAATTGTAGAATTCATGCATTTAATGCCAGTGTCTTTGTTGCTAATCTTAATGTTTGAGTAGTAGTTTCTCAGATTCTAGATTTAATGGCTGTTTTGTATACTTACGGGATTAGCTTAATAAGTTTCCCCTGTTTCCGGCTAGATCAAGCTCTGATGATTAATTGAAGGTTTTATTTATATTTTGAGACTCAATCCCTTTTAGTTAACAATGGATTAATGATGATTTATCTAACTTTGTCTTATTTCCTCCTTAGCAAGTTAAGAAATAGATTTTTTGTCAATAGATGATTTAATGATTCCAATGTTTTGATGAGAGTAATTTCTTTTCATTATTTATATGAAACTTTATTTTATTTAAATTCAAATATTACTGATAAATTATATTGAGTTCATTTTAGAGTTTTATTTTGTCAACTTTCTACTCTAAAATCCTTAAAGGGGTTTTGGGGTTTTGGGG